GCGTTTCACACTCGCATTTAATTGGTAAATTACTTGATCTCTGAGTAAACTTGGATGTAATTAAGTGGATTGAATCATATCTAGCTAATAGGACACAATACGTGGAGATGAAAGGAAAGAAATTGAAAATGTTAAATGTAACGTCTGGTGTCCCACAGAGATCAGTATTAGGACCTGTTTTATTTCTCTGTTATATAAACGATATTACAAGTGACCCTAGTAGCAAAATTACTGTTCGTCTGTTTGCAGACGATTGCCTAGTATATTCTAAAATATCATCTCATGAAGATCAACTAGAGTTAGCCTCAGCACTGCATTCCATTGCTGATTGGTGCACACAATGAAAAATGAAAATAAACCAAGAGAAAACTGTATACGCACGCATAACTAGGAAAACAAAAAATGTGCCAGTTTTCAATTACATATTAGACGGAAAGCCATTGACACAAGTTAGGCACTTCAAGTATTTAGGCATTATGATATCAGATGACTTATCTTGGAAAAAAAGATATTACTAACCTATGTAATGCCGCTGAGGTTAAACTCTGGTCACTTAGACGTAAGTTGAAATTTGCTTCCCGAGATGTTAAACTAACAGCATACCTGACTTTGATACGTCCCGCGCTAGAATACGAAAGCATAATATGGGATCCACATACAAAAAACGATGTAAAGAAAACTGAAAAAATACAGAGGCGTGCAGCAAGGTTTATGATGTCAAAAAATAGGTACATAGACTCAGCGACCGAAATCCTGACTCAACTAAAATGGCCCGAGCTTTTATTGCGACGAAAAGTGGCTAGATTAAAATTCATACACTTAATGAAACATAACTACTTTAACTTCAACCCCTACAGATTCATGGAAAACAGAACGTCGCGTATTTCACGGGTTGTTAGATCTAGCCATGAGGACCAGTTTGTGCCTATATACCTACAAAGGTTGACTGACACCTTTAAATATTCCCTCTTCGAAAACCGATTGAAGAGTGGAATGCACTACCCCAACGCATAACTCAAATTAATTCCACAGAGGATTTCGATTGGTTGATTGATTGTTTGATTGATATGTGGGGTTTAACGTCCCGAAACCACCATATGATTATGGTAGACGCCGTAGTGGAGGGCTCCGGAAATTTCGACCACCTTGGCTTCTTTAACGTGCACCCAAATCCGAGCACACGGGCCTACAACATTTCCACCTCCATCGGAAATGCAGCCGCCGCAGCCGGGATTCGATCTCGCGACCTGCGGGTCAGCAGCCGAGTACCTTACCCACTAGACCACCACGGCAGGGCTACAGATAAATTTGAAAAGATGGTAATGGCATATTACTCCTCTAGGTAACCATATCTAGGCGTTGTTACCTCATCTCTTCTATCCGGAGATGTTCCCTTTTTTTTGTATATTTTTCTAAAACTGTACGTGACGTTTGTAAGAAAAGTTCCTACGACGCCGAAGTTTGAGATGTATATGATATAGCCTTCGTCAAGTGTGCTGTATGAAGTTATGCTACCATGCCAATCATTGGTCACTACTGTGTAAACCTTAATTAACTTACCTGATGAATTGGTTCTCTGTTAAAACTGCCCGTTGTGTTGTCTTTCTTGATTTCATTTTGCAGTGCTTGTGTCAACAAGGGAAGTGTATTTCTTTACCCCACCCTGTAACGACCTTTGGCTAACAGTATCAATAAATGAATAAATAAATAAATAAATAAATAAATAAATAAATAATGTCGTTGAGTTCGTTTATTTAACTCGGACATCTCGCACGCCACGACAATATCGTAATCGTATGATTCACTTTGCATATATCGCAATATACTAAAAATGATAGCACACGTGAAAAGGGGTAATGACCTGCCATTTAATGAATAACATGGCATGCATGTTGTGCCTGTCACCACATAAATTACATATATGACTGGATACTGTTTCGGATGTTTCTTTAACTAGCATACGAGAACATGCGTGACATAAATGCATGACATGCATGATATAAATGGCATGGCTTGATACTTCTTAATAAATGAATTCCATGAATCACGTGTTGCCATCGTCACAGACACTCTTCAGAAAAACAAAAAAGAGTGAAAAAACCCAGAAAAGCATCAGCGCAAAATGGGAAGAATAAGACAATATGAGAATCATGGAAAGGAAGTAAAAAATAATGAGGAATATACACAACTATGCTGAAACCTTCCTGAAAGTCGGTAAATAGAAAACCCTGTACATTGTGAAAAACTGTTTTAGGACAGTGTGGATCTGAAGCAAAAACAATGACACTGGACTGTGAAAAACATCAAGATCGTGAAAGTTAACATTATAGAGTCTTTGTATTCTGGGAACAGTAGAGTGTTGAAAGAACTTTGCAGGTATTACATTATACCCAAGATTTTTGGCCATGGACGCACGGATGAATTGATGGACAGACTTTTGGCCGTTATTCACCAAAGAACACTACGAATCTGAAAGTGAGAGCTGCTGTGAATTCGTTTCTTCATTCTGCCCTCCCTTCATTCATGCGCTGTGTTGTTCTTCTGATTGGAAAGCTCCAAAGACTGCCATATGCTGCCTATGCATTAAACAATAAACACAAGAACGTAGAAGTTCAAGCCTTCAATTTTTCTGGAACTTACTCCGTTTCATAGCTGCGTTAATATAGTATTCTCTCCGGAATTCAGCTCTGTAACAGCATTCCCTACATTTTCAACCTCATTCCCGTTCCCAACTTGGCACGCTTGGGAGGAGTACCTGATCGGCTACTATCTTTAGGTGCGTGCTCTGGCAGCAGCCAGCTCCAATGGCATCCCGGAATATGGCCTGGCCATTCAAACATGCAGTGCTATAAGCAGCAACTTTCTGGTTAATGTTCTCAAACAAAAATGTTTTCTACCTTCATCTGCTCTGAATTGTGACAAGCCTTTTTGATTCGGTAAAATTTTCGCTTCTTCATTGTGAAACATTTTACAGCGAAAGCTGTTATAAAATCACAACACGGTTCCAGTGCGGCATCGTAGTTGTCCGCCGCTGGTGTCCATTACTACTATCGCACTAACTAAGAAAAAACTCAGTAAATAAAAAACACCAAGGACACAATGGAATTCGAGGCAGGATCCCCCACTGACAGCCCGGTATTCTACCTATAAGCCACACGGCTACTTGGAACTCGTTTTTGAAGTAGCCTTAAGCGGGCTTGATGTAGGGAAATGAATGACATTAATATGACTAATAAAGCGGTATAGATTGTCAAAGGAACAACCAGGCTTCACATATAGCAAATAGTGTAACAAGTAGGTCTTTTCAAATGATCCAACTCATTACAAAAGCTTCTTCTTGATCACTTATTAAATGTGACGGATACCCACTTCAGGCACAATCCTTCAGGCATAATAAGTGTGTAGCGGATACCACGCTTCTCCGAATAATGGTGAAATAAAGCATAATGAACGCTGGCCAACTACACAAAAATTATTGTTCGCGTTCCGCAGGAAGTTATTTTCCTTCCTTCTTTATGTATGGCATAGTAAGTGCTCAGCAAGTGTATTTGTAGCAGTTACCTAGAGAGCGGTTAGAAAAGGTTCTGAAAGGCTGCTCTTCCAACTTTCGCTGTGACTGAGCGACGCGTTCCGCTCAGGCCTGGCGTTTTTTTTATTCGTGCTGTGCATGTCAATCGTGTTTTATTAAAGAGAAATGCAATATCAACAGTTGCCCCTAAGATTTGTCACACTTAGAAGGTGTACTGCTGCTACCCTGCACATATCTCCTTACCGCTGTGTGTCAACAACGAAAATTACGTACACCTGCAGTGCCGACAGCAGCACTTTCCATGATGTGTATTTCGTTTCTGTATCCTATTTTAGTAAAGGACGAGTCGTCATGCCAGGTGCGCCGTTGCGCGAACCATCGTACTTTTATTGGCCATTTATTTCTATAGCACGGCTTATCGATGTGAACACGATTCGTCAAACTATGCGGTAAGCCGGAATCTCTGGTGTTTAATCTTTCTTGTCTCTCATTTAGGGCCATGGCAATTCGCCCCGGGTCAACTTGATAGCTCTTGTGAAACTAGGTAACGGATGTAATGCTGTTTGATGCCCACTGTTTGCTCGTCACATGTCTGTCGGGCGCTGCCTTCTTTTTTGACCTTCTACCCCAACAGTGCTCAATAATCGTTACATTCTGACAGATGACACGTTCGTCAGGAGCTTAACTTGGCGCACTCATTGCGAACTGCCAGCATGGCCCTCAGGTGTCACCGGTTGATAGACAAGTCCTTTATATTGGCAAGCGTATGATGAATCGAACTGCAGACGTTTTTATCACGTAGTTTTTTTTTTACTGGCGCACCGACGATAGCCAAATGAGACACAGAACAGCAGACGCTGTCAAGCGCTTGGCAAGTGATCGGCCGCAAAATCGGGACGGCCGGGAAAGTGGCTTCAACCGCGAGAAGGTGAAACGTGACGGCTCTGACAAGGTCTCGGCAAACAGGCATGCGTCGGAGTGTTGCTATCAGGGCGCGCGCCTTGTTTCTTAAAACGAGAGACATTCCGCGGTGGAAACGCGTGCACAGGTGTTAAGAGGCGCAGAGCACGCTCTGACTGACCAAGCGGGAAGGCACGCACGTGAAAACGCATCAAGGCTGGGGCAAGACGAGAGCGCGAAGCGCGCACGAGCCCGTGATTTGGCGATAATGCTCGGCCGACCCGATTCCTGGCCTGCAGTGGCGACGGGAGCCACTGGAGAACAAAGCCCGTGTTCGCTCTCCCCATCCTACGGCCGATACAATACCGTTTTGTTGGCTGCCGCGCGGGAGAAACAATAAGGGCCGCCCGGAATGGTCCAAGACAGCAGGGCAGCGGATGACGCAATAATGGCCCCAAAAGGCGGTCACTCCTCCTTCCATCCGGCGCCTCGGGGTCGAGCGAGGGGGCCTCTGGGCGCGGCAGTTTCCTCCGCCGGAGGAGGAACTATAAAATCCTCCGGACGGCTCATCAAGCGGTCACAGTGAAAGGAGCGCCTCCGCATACACCTGACTGGAATACGTAGTGCACCTGACGGGAGGGAAACCCAGCAACATGATCGCCAAGGTACGTGCGTCCACGTGCGTCGCCGGTGACACTCGGCACGAGGGACAGTTCTTGCCTCGTGGCGCGCACTCTGGCCGTGGTATACGGGCGTAGCAATGTTTAGCACCTACTTGCTCTCGTCAGCCGCCACCAGCTTGACACAGGGAGTTGTTTCACTCCAACGTCGGCCTTGCGAAAGAAGCGCTATGCTTCAGGTGATGTGTCGCTCTATGGGCGGACCCACGAAGATGCGCAAGAGGTAGTGAATGATGTGAAAAAATGAATTCAGGTGTCCGCTGCATTACCGCATAAACCAGCAGCGTCTCGGTAAAAACACACACTGCTTCTAGTGTAGTATTGACAATCTACTTCGACTGTAGATTTTTGTTATACGTATTTGTTCATCAAATGCATCAAGGCAAAGACAAACATATCTATGGGAAGTGTTTTAAGTGCAGGTTATGAATATCTAAGGAAACAAATCTGTGTGAGATATGAATCAGGTGCAGGGTGTAAGAAGGGCTTCCAAGGAGTGGTGCAATCGGTTTGGCTGGTGTGTACATGTATGGTGCATCGACGTATTGAGCTATACTCAGACCAAAATGGGCTTTCTCAGAATGTCTGTATAGTTGTTTTCTGGTTAGATCAAGAAGATGCAAAAGTACGCAAAACAATATTTTTTTTGCAATTCTGGCCTTTATTAACGCTAGCCTGAAGTGACCTGCAATGTAAGCTTTCACATAAGCCCGCTTCCCCACTCTTTCCATTTATCTTTTTTCTTCGATAGAACTAGAGCGGAATCTGAAAGTATTGCTTAAATTAATAATAATGATCTTCAATACTGGTCTAAACCCATTTTAAGGTAGCCAAATCCTCAACATGTGTCTTAAAGAAAAAATGAAGATAACCGAGCAGTCGAACAAAGTGATTGAACTTGAATGACACGAAAGTTCCTTGACATAGATATTCATGTGCCAATTGAGGAGGGCAAGGCACAACTTGTAGCTGTTAGCTATCTGCGTCACGATGATGAAGGTGATATTCTATGTTCATCGAGGAAACAACTCAAATAAAAAGTATATGCACAGATATTTACAACACATATCTAAATACATCTTTCTCCGCACCCTTTGCATGATACGTTCATTCTGGCGGATTGGCAAATGATAGGTACATGTGCTGTTGCATATATCATGTGTCGAAGTTTTCTATTAGTACGCGCCCCCCGAGAATCAAGGTATCCTTTAGGCCAGAAAGTTACGATGATTGCTAAACTTCTGACTTCACTATGTCGAAAGAACGTAGAGCGTGTGACCTAAGTTACCCAAGCGGTGATAACAACGCGAGCGCTACATGTGCATTGGATGCCGTAGCGTTCTTGCTGAAAGTGAACAAATTCAAGGTCCAATTCATTGACCTCTTATGGAATACAAGTGCCGACATTTCACTATTGTGCTCAGAGAGCTGAACAAACATTTATAACGACACGTAGTTTTTTTTTCTTCCCATGTCAAGTGCGCGTCCATGGCACCATTGCTATTGAGTGAAACAGAAACAATGAGAATCTCCGCGAGCCAAAACAAATATCTCAATCGCAAATAGTAAAATCGCGCACCTTTTTATTTCCTCTGCTTCCCCCCCCCCCAAAAATCTGTTTCCACCTGTAGGGTAGCAAACCGGTTACCATAGTCTTTTTAACCTGCGTACTTTCTTTTCTCTACCATTTATTCTTTCACTGCCATATGCCTGAGGTTAGGCCTAAGTTGCATTAGCCTCTTCAAATAGGCAGCAATTGGTGATTGATTGTTATGTGGTGTTTAGCGTCCCCAAACCACCTCATGATTATGCGAGACGCCGTAGTGGAGGGCTACGGAAATTTCGATTACCTGGGGTTCTTTAACAACTGTAGTTTGCCTGGTATGCTTGGCCGCTTAAACCTTAGTATCTCAGACGTTAATAAAATTCAGGTGTGTCCTCAGACATTGGTCAAACCAATATTGTCTCAGAAGAGAGGCACCGAACACGGGTTCTGTGTCCTTCCCCATCTCTGTGAATTATTGTTCTTGATTCCGCACTTCAAACACGAAGTTCCTCAATTATTAGTCTGATGGTGTCGTTCGCATTTCTGTGCGATTGTACTTGCATGTTTCGTCACAATAGATGGTGTGACAAGCATGAACAGACACAACAGAAGAGACTAAGACAACACAAATGTCCGAAGCTCGAAAATCTCACCTTTTGTGTCCGTGTTTGAACTCATTACCTTCTTTTATAATGAATCCTTATGAACTAGTAGATAAAGTTTCTGGCGCTGTATGCTTGTAGGTTGGACATGCACCAATCCTCAAGCGTGAAGAGCTTGCATCAAATTAAGTGTCCGCTGCAGCTATGGCAAATAATTTAGAACGCACAAGCTATCCTCCATTACTTATTGAAGACTTTTCGGTGCTTCGCCACTCTGAACGATTAATTTACCATGACCGAAGTCACGAAGTTGGGTAACTTTTTCTTCCTGCTCTCTCACATTCTGCTCTCTCGCACGCTTTCATCTTTCCGCGCTGTTGCACTCTGCTATATTACATGACTAGTAGCATTCGTTATACAACCATCCACGCACGCCGATATCTTGGCACGAGATATGTAAAGTAAGCGCACCGTAGTGGCGCTAGCGAAAAAGGAAAGAAAGAACGGCATTGTCTGACCTGTCATTCTTTTTTTCATTATTTTCCCCTGACTATTAACAAAAAGTTCGTGGTTAACCTCCTTGCCTTCCCTCTTCTGGCTTTCTCTTTCTCGCGTGGTAGGAATGTTTCCGTAGGTATGTGGGCCTGGTTTCATGCCACATGAATTAAAAGAGATTACATGCCCAAATGCCGGTTTCCCATCCGAACAGCCTTATGTTCAAACTATTAGGCAAAAATCGTGCGCGCAGTATATATTCTTATGCTAGATACAGCGTTGGGCCAAGAGTTAGGGTGCTCGTGCGCTGACCCAAAAGTCGTGGTGGTCACATTTCTGTGGAGGTGAAGTGCTACAAGCACGCGCGCTATACGATTTCAGTTCACGATAAATAATTTGTTCGGAGCCATCCACTTTGACCCATCAAACGCCACAATACGTCATAGTTACGCCATAGTGAGCTGACGCTTTGAGACGAATGTCACCTGAGCCACCACCGATTAAAAATTAAGCCACAGAATCAGGATGTAAGCCTATCGATTAATTTCGTGCTTGTATCTCAGCACGGAGATTGACAGCGCACCACTTTCTCTACGTATTCATGGGAGATAACATTCTCATTCGCTGCATCACATCCGACATCAGATCACATGGCCAAGTTCTTTCCTCTACCAACTGTAAACCATGCCGATAGTCGATTTTATAGACGAAATTTATGCCTTAAGGATGATATTATGTCATGTTGGAAAATTTTCGAAATGATTTCTCTGGCAAGTACAAACACAAAAACCAGTTTTTATCATTGCTTTCGTCGTCACGCTGTCGTCATCGTCGTGATCACCTTGCAATTCTGTCATCGCAGAAATCACTCATGTCAGTTACATGATGGCCCGCTTAACTAAACGCATCGGTTACTCTGGTAACGCGTTGTAGAACCTCAAGCGGTGTTCGACAACTACCTACGTGTAGTATACACCTCATAGCATGCATCACCCCAAGGCGTGAGTTGGGCACGTACTTATTTATTAAGTGAATTGCTAAGTACTTTACAAATATTTTAGAACCTCATCACAAATTATCAATAATGTGCATACAAAAATTCCTTTAACTGAAAGTATGAGAACCGTTGATATTATAAAACATGCTTACCTTTGCCCGCTGGTTTATTACCTAGCACGGACAACTGCTGAAGAAGTGATTCAGCAAAGTAAAAACGAAGACTGAGGTACATTTGCAGTTATGTATGGCTTTAAGTTTTCTTTAACGAAAAGAGGACAAAAGCTCAAGACGAAGGGTGGCTGATATAATTCAGCAAAGGTTCTAAGCCGTCTTAGTTTAATAAACTTGTTTTGAACATCAAATACCTCTCTGAAAATGCGTAAAGGAGTAAGTAGAAAAAGTACTGAAATGTAGTGAGTGGCAAAGCTCATTTATCCGCCGCTCGTCATTACTGCGTAACACCGTTGGGAGCCGTCGCTAACATTTATGACGCTATTGCAACTGGGCAATTTTTGTTATTTTGATTCATCCTTTTGTCGGAGCAATTTTTCTAGGCATATTGGTCCCCTTTCGTATTCGAATCGGCAAAAAGCACAGCGCACAAAAAACATAAAACTATTTGAAGACAAAATTACGAAGTTTTTTAAGTTCACACGATGCTTTGGTTTATGCATGCAATACTAGGGTACTCCGTAGTAATTATGCCCATTTAAGAATTCCGAATGCACATCTAAATGTCAGCGCGTGAAGTTTTTTTTTTTTGCATTTCACGGCCCTCTAAATGTCAACGCCGCGTCAGGATTGAATCAGTGACCTCGAACTCAGCGGCGCAATGCGATCACCATGACATACTCTGTTGAGCGTTGCAAGGAGAAAGCACACAAACCAGCTGAATATTGTCTCCACAACCTGGATCGTGTCTTTCGGAGATCGCAGGTTTCTTTTTCGTTTCCTTTCTCTCTTTTTTTGCGCGTGAATTCTACGCAGTTTGCAGCGCACGATATAGCATGTACTGTAGCACTTGTTTCATTCCAGTGATAAACGAAACGTCCCGCGAGAATAAATTATTGTGCCTAATCTAAACTCCCTATATGCACGAACCTAAGAGGCAATGTCTCTCAAAAGAAATGATACTTCGAGTGCTCCGGAAGGTATTATTAGTTCGGGATACTTGCATGTGCATGCTCGACCTCAGGAGTTATATGTTAATACTTCTGAAAAAATTGTTAAAGAAAAGCTGACGTACAATACCAGTAGCACTTTTTTATTCTTTTATTTCAGCCCACCTTATATTTTAATGTATTGTAGGTATATTGTGTTTACAGAGAACGGGCATGCTATAGTTTACAACAAAAGCTACGTTTTGCTGTTTGAGCAAAAATACAACTTTGTAAGAGATAGAAGGACCGATGAACCCAGGACTTAGCAGTCAAGAATCGAGTAACGCTCTGTGGAAATTACTCGTTTCGATTGCAATGTTGAGGTGGCAAGTTAAAAAAAAATGGAATGAAGAAAACAAGAGCAAGAACTACTATTCATTAGTGGAATGCGAACGCCTCAGCTGCAGCGTATTACGCGTGCGATGCTGCGCTGTTTATGGTGACAGCTATACCCCTTTTTCAACGTGGCACTATTAATTATATGTTTACAAATTTTGACAGTGCGCTTGTTAGCGTCAAAAATGTCCATGGCAGTAGATGTGGCACATGCAATGGACCGCTCTATAGAGTCCCGTCGGGTGGGAAAGTCAGGTTGTGAAATTTGAGGACATCTCTAATTCCAACTTAATAATAATAATAAGTGGGGCATTATGTCCTGAAGCCACGATATGATTATGAGAGATGCCGTTGTGTAGGGGCTTCGGATATTTCGACAATCTGGTCTTCTTTAACGTGCACTGATATCACACAGTACATGGGCCTCTGCCATTAAGCCTCCATGGAATTGCGACCACCGTAGGCGGGGTCAAAACCGTGACCTTCGGGTCAGCAGCTGAGCTCTCTAGCCCCATATCCACTTAGGTGTAGTGGAAGGCCATCATGCCATCGTTCCAGCTATTGTTATTACCTACTGCTACGTTTAAAGCTACTATAGAGCTCAAACGTACTGAGGATATTGGCACTGAATGAATATGCACTGCCTATACGCTGCCCCTTAGCAATTTACCAAGCTAGCAGCGCCATGAAATAAATATGCCATCACTTTTCATGTGCAGAAATCCACATGGTATTGAAAAACGCTAGTGTTTTTGTCTGAATAAAGTGAGGCAATTCTTTTTTGATTAAGGTTGCCTTGTCGGAGCTTATCAAATGCCAGATAGCGTAGATACGTATTCAGTTTAAATAAATAACGCCCACATGCAAACCACAACTCCTGTTTCTTTCCTTATGTGTATTTTTTTTCTTTCTTAATGTATACGCAGTGCATCTCTTCACTCCTTTGCCTGGCAGTCACCGTCAATGCCGGCATTGTTGCGACTAGCGGAGGCCACAGCGTGCAGCATCGGAAACAGGATGTGAGTTAACCTACGCGTAATTTCACTCATACGTTTTACTATGCAAGAAGAGAGGTTGGTTTGCTGAACTCCCAAACTACAATAACCTGTTTTATAGCACTAAGGTGCAAAATTTGAAATAGATGTAGTAGCCAACATTGTAACTTTGTAGAGAAGCTTCAAGTTACGCGTGCGTATGGGTTACTTGTGCGTACGTCGTTGGTCTTTGATGAAGATACTGACAAACGAAGTGGAGTGAGCAAAGGCACCTCTAGAATTCATAGCTAAACTTAGTTTCATTTGATTGAAATCTGAGAATAGCTTCGAAGATCACCTGGGCCTAAGCTTCACGCTTGTTGAGATGTGTACTAGCGTGAAGTTGCTGATCCTTCTCAAATATACCTTTCTCATAGTAAAACTGTAGCTAATGCGTTCAGTGTGGGAATAGCGAAAATCGCGATGTTTTAAAATTGGAAGTGAAGTGCAAAGTTGGGGTTGGAATGGAATGGAATTAAAAAACCTTATTTAATGAAAAAACTTTAAATTGGGGTTCTGCTTTAATAATTATCATTTCCTTTAAAAAGTGATCTTTACATAACTGAAATTATCTACCAGTCTACCCATTTTCAGCGACGCTGTAATACTCTCTACGCTACTGTAATGCTCGTCTTGCAAGCGACTGATGTGATACATGCTTACACTTTCGGTGCCAATCACATCGGAGTCGCATCTCGCGAGCACGTTCGTATTAGAGCCGCAGTAATACACGTTTTATTAAATTCCAGGATTACGGAAACTACCAGTTCGGCTATGACATCGTCAATGGTTACGGTGCTGTCAACGGCCGCCACGAAGCCGGAGGCGCATACGGCCCCGTGCATGGTTCCTACTACCTGGGTGACATTGACGGCCGCCACCGGCAGGTGCACTACGTGGCCGACAAGCTCGGGTTCCGCGCTGTTGTCAAGACCAACGAGCCTGGAACTAAGACGAGCGCGCCTGCGGCAGCTCCTTACGTGTCGGCCAATGGCAAGGCGGTGCCAGCGGCTTCAGTCCAAGCGGCTCCAGTCGCCATTGTGAAACCAGTGATCCCAGCTTACGGCGGACATCTTGGCTACGGTTACGGTGGAGGCTACGGAGGCGGCTACGGCCACGCGCCCGTAGCCGCTGCTGTGGTCGCGAAGGCTGCCGTTCCTGTGGCTGCTTACGCGGCAGCTCCCCACTACGGTTATGCTGGACTCGGTGGGCTTGGTCATGGCTACAGTCTTGGCTATGGTGGCTACGGAGGTTACGGGGGCTACGGAGGCTACGGACACGGCTATCTGGGATAAGCAGCCGCTTCCAAATGAACCAATTTATTGGGATCAAGGTGAGATCATACATTTTCAATAGTACAGTTTATCATTTTACACACGGTTTCTCTATGAGTGGAGGAACTCAACATCAATTTTCTTCGTGCAGTTATAGGGGACAGCTGTGGAACTTAAGTAGGTGGTGTTATACAGCAAATGAATGATGAAATGTGTACAGTTAGCTAAGGTCATTGACGTCAACGTAAAAAATTCACAGCGTATTCATATCGAATTTCGAAGCGAGTAAGTTCGGTTGCCCTCCAATCACCGTGTGTCGAATGCTGTCGTTGCAGTCACCACCAAAGTTCGTTCACTAATCTTCCTTTGTAGAATCAGAACACTCGACTTCCAATCAGTTCATTCGACCTTTAGAATGCAGAAGTTAGTGGTATTTCAATGCGAGATTGCTTAAGGTGGATCACTGCGCACCTACGAAGAAACGTAAGTAATTGTCTGTGTAAATAAGGTTTCGTCAAAAGGAATAGTATGCCTCAAACACGATGATACACCGTGATGAGAATGTTGACCAGGCTTCCGATCTCGTCGCTTTACTTTTATACCTAAATCACTCATCAAACAATCATAGCTGCTACATGAATAAGAAAGGCCAGGGTCTAATTTTTCCTCCCTACAACATAAAACTAACGCAAAAACGAGAATGGTTAAGCCTGTTCAGTCAAGCAGCAATAAATGTTGTAGCATATCACAACTTCGCGTAAGGTCTTACACAATTGCATTTTACTTGTGAATGAGTGTCATTGGGTTATCCATCTTATTCGAAGCCGCTAGGCCAGTTACTCGCATAGCTTTGAAACGACTTGGTCATGCTTTCTCATTTTCAGTGGGGAACTCTCAAGTAGCCGGTTATCACTTACGCGTGGATTCTGGTGCCACTCATCAAAAATCCTAACACAACTTGTCTCACGACGAATGTCAACTGAGTAACAAATATCACTAGGCCATGCATCAAAGCCTGTAGGATTAGGCGTGTGGGTACGACAGCATTATGAGGGCGAATCAGGGCAACCTACAAGAGGGTACAAAAGAGGGCAGACATAGTGGTAATTGATCAGCGCCCCGTGTCCTCTCTTCTGTTCCCTCCTGTCAGCTGCACTGATTTTCACTAATAATTATGCAACGACAAACCGTACTGCGCAGTTCTTCATAAATGCGTTGTTTCTGTCAATGCTGATTTCATTTAAAAAAAAGCTAATTCGCAGGCCGCACTCTGCTGACTATCAATGTAGCAAGCCTGCTGCAAAACTAGTCAGCAAGGTCTCAAGTCATCTGAAAGACTAGTTGTTAATTTCAGTGGTCCACATGTACGTATTAACACAAGTATTTACTAGGGTACCATTAGCAATCTTTATTGTCATAATTTAGAACACCATGAACTCTCCATCTTTTTTCCGTGAAGCATATTCTCATAATCAACGTCATATTTAAATATAGTTTTGAGTAGCGTACTTGGTGGAATCTTTTAGCCGGAGTGGTTTCACGTCCGAGTCATGAGCGCATACGCATGCTTGTGTTGTGTGATCGGTACTTTGTGCCGCGCGACCCAGACAAAAAGTGTTGTGATCTAGTGAATACTAATCAATGTTGATTCGCAGCGAGTTATTCATCAGGCACACAATTGGCACATAACGCACATAATGATTCATCAGGCACATAATGTTGTGGGTAAATCATGAATGCTTCGATTAAGGCTTTCCCTTCCTGCCGATGGAGACTGCCGTAGTTGTGCCCGGCTAAATGGCAATTGACAGCCTGAGCTCCTCCTCTTTATTCTGTGTCTTTGTGTGTTTAAGTATGCAAATATAATAATAATAATAATAATAATAATAATAATAATAATAATAATAATAATAATAATAAAACCTTATTTTGTTGTGACGAGCTCCTTATTTTACTTTGTTCTTACCGCATTCATGGTCTCACGTTATGGCTTATTTTCCAGGTGATGGCGTACTCGTCAGTGTTTCAAGTGTTGCCAAAGCAAGACTTCGTTGTTATCCATCTTCAGGTCCCGGTTCCTACATGATTCCATAATGTGTTCCTACACTTTTCTTGTTGACTCTGTTTGTTCGTGTAAATAAAGGTGTTTTTGACTGTCGTAAGACATTTATCCAAAGATATAATATTTTAACTATCAGAAGGATCTTTATGATTGGGTGATGCGAACATTGGGGTAATTCGCCCGAATGTGGCATGCTAGGAATATTCGTGATGAATTAAACTAGTGAAGTTTCAAATTAGTTTACTTCGTTTCACAGCTATGAAAACTGCAATACACACAATGTTAATGTAATGAAAAATTTACACGAGTTGCGACGTGATGATTGGCAGGCAGTATTTTTTCTCCTTATTATGCGAAATTCATAATTGGCGTAGCTTATCTCTCTCACCAGATTAGACAGTTTGAAGCATTTGTACAGAAGAGTGACAAAACTATCGAAAGCGTCGGAAACAACCGCTACCAGACACATCTAGATGGCGTGACCATCGTCAATCACATACCGGCGTCAGAATGAACTGAAATACGGGCAAAAAAAAATGCTTTCAGCATGCCGTCTTTAATTCATCATTTACACAGTTTTGTGCAGCACCTAGATTAGACTCGGCTGCTGACCCGCCGGTAGCGGGTTCAAATCCCGGCTGCGGCGGCTGAATTTCCGATGGAGGCGGAAATGGTGTAGGCCCGTGTGCTCAGATTTGGGTGCACGTTAAAGAACCCCAGGTGGTCGAAATTTCCGGAATCCTCCACTACGGCGTCTCTCATAATCATATGGTGGTTTTGGGACGTTAAACCCCACGTATCAATCAATCAACCTAGATTAGACATTCCGTATGATATCCTTAATGGGGTGAGTATTTCAATGAAAGAGAGAGAGAGAGAGATAATTTTTCAGAAGGCACAGTGTTTTGCGTGAGCTAATGCTCCTTAGCATGCTACTCAACAGAGTAAAGAAGGGCTCTTTCTCACCGTGATCAACTGGTCTAGTAAGTAAAAATGTATGCGGAAACTCAACTCAGGCGTTAGCTTTAAAGCCTTTAAAGCACAGCTATAACACGATGGGGACATTTCGAGGATACCAACACATCTCGGCTGCCATTCTGGGCCATTCTCTGCCATTCGTTTCATTCTGCACCCCTAAACCCAGCAAGAAATGCCTCGCTAAAATTTTCATTCTTTCAAAATGTACAGGGGTGGTCAAAACTTCCGAGGCTGCTGTCCCATGTATAACTATGGCAGCGCGGCTTGGAAACTTGATCACCGCTCAAGGAATCGGCATTGACAAATCAAACTTTTTGCGTTAGAACAATTCGAAAAAGTAAATGCCAGCATTTTGTCATGACAGATATGTTATTTCAAAAAGACTATTGACCAATTGTAGAATAAAGAAAAACTTAAGAAGAAGAACTTCATTGATGTCACTGCTTTATTATTATTATTATTATTATTAGTAGTAGTAGTAGTAGTAGTAGTAGTAGTAGTAGTATTAGTAGTATAACAGGGAGCCCTCTGAGACTGTATGCTACAGTTACACAAATGATAAATGGAATAATTTTCACTATTTTTTCTTCGTTTACCTCGTTGTCCAACCGTGTCATGGCTCTAGGTAAGAGTCCAATAGTTCATATTCAGAAACGTTATTTCATTACACAGAATATTTTTATGAGCCCATACTTACGGAATACACTAACATCATTTGATGTGTGTTAAAGTTAATCGATATGTCAATGACTACAGATAACTAAAAGGTATACTTATCAACAGAGGTTTATTCTTCCCCGTATGAAGCTGTAGTGTCGTCATCTTTGTCGTTTTGACATATTTCTGATCTGTTTTGCCAGATAGGCGACCTGATTCTTGAACATGATATACTGTATTCGTCTCGATTTCTGTGTTGCGTTTAGAATGAACGAAACTTTTGGAGTGGCCAAGGAAACGCAACCGCTTGCCATGTTTCATTGCTGGTCAATTTCGAAGCACGTGGTCAGGTATAGCATGCATTACAACTGTCATGAAAGGGCCTCTCAAGCACATCCTGCTGCACGTGAAGGTAACACAGGCGGGAATCAGTTCGTGGCTGCGTCGAAGCCAATGTCCGTAGGATATATGCCAGCGCCTGTTGTGGGCAAAACCGGAATGTACACTGGGTACGGTATACCCACGAGAAAAGGCAGGTAGGGTCGCTGGTACCCAACCACCAGCTGAGGCACGAGCACGGACGAGGTTGGTCCCCGGATGGGCAGGAAGCCACCCAGGCCTCCCAGCCCACCCGCAAAGCCGGCTCCGATTCCGGTCCCGAGGTTGGCGCCGAAGGGTCCGCCCAGCACGCCACCAAACGGGTAGCTGGCCGCCGTCAGGCTTGCAAATGGGTTGCCGAATCGCACGCCGTACGGGAAGCCAATGCGCCGGTTGTACACCGGGATCTGCCTCGCCACTCTAGCGCCATCATCCACGGCTCGCAGTCCGGCGTTCAAGTGCGTCGTCGCGTTCATTTCTGGAGAGAGAACGTGAGCAACTGCGGTAGTAAGCGCTCGCACACACGTAGGCGCACTGTATACGAGATTCTTAGGATAACGCTACAGTTGATTCACTCTAAATAAACGCTGCCGCTAAAAAATAACGAGGACTGAATGAACACCCAAGTTTACAGTTTGGTCAGGTACTCTCCGAGTCTTCGTCTTCCCTCTCTAACTTTTTTTTTTTGGAGAGGGAGGTGCGCGCAAGAATTTGCGCAGTAGAGAGCGCGCCGCGAGATATGCCGCTAGAAAAACTATATGTTACGCACACACGCTCTCTCTCCCAACAGTATACAAATTGTTTGTCCTTTTTCTTTACTTCATCCTAGTCCCTTTCTCTAGTATTTTTTGGCCCTATGATTTTGAAGTATCATTCTAGAACAAGCACATGAATAGCTTGGCTAGTTTGCTTGTCATACTGTTCCTGCTACATGCCTCACAGGGCTTGCGTCTACCTTATCGATTTTAGAAACGAAACTCCCGATGAAAACCTTTGTAGTTTGTTCTCCTAGCTAACTGGGGCATCAACACAATCTACACGACTGAATAGCTTCCTCGAAAGTCACCTACAATGTAACAAAATGCAATTGTCTCTGAAGCGATCATTGGAAATTTTGCACCACTGATCTTAGTTAATTTACCGATTAACCGCAATATAAAAATACCCTGACAAGCGTCAATTGCCGAAAAGTGAATTGTCATTTAGTTGCAATTAACCTTTTTTTAGAATATTTGGTCTTAGTTGCACGGAACACCCTCTTTGTCTCAAGCTGTTGAACTTCTGCATCATCATAAATAAGTGCACAACACAATTTTTTTTGTAAAAACGTTATGGGCCATCTCCCCGAAGGGAACCCTGATGGAACGCGAAGCAGCAGTGGTGCGCATGGCGTTCACCAGGTTGCAACGGGCATCAACGCGGGTGCTAGAAGAACGGTTTGAAGCTAAACTTACCCTCGTATTCACAAACGCTCCTCGACTCGACTTTCACCCTTCACTTGACTGAGTTGAGCACTGCGCCACAGCTCGGCTCAAAATGACCCTGCGCTACTCAAAAATCGCAGCAGATGATCGCTGATATACAGTGACTTGCCGTGCCTAGAGACGGCGCTGCCATCGGCTTTCTCAAGTGAAGGTGAAGCGTTGAGTGAAGGGACGTTCTAGAATACGGGGGTTAGTGTAGTGTTTACTCGAGTGAACGTTTTAAACGCAATGACACGGAAGGTGGGTTTGGTTTTCGGTAAGTTTCATCTCAGAAAGGTTGTTCACTCGATGTGCGCTCGAACGTTGCGAGCGGTCAAGAGGGTGAAAAGAGAAAGAGATGACACGCGCCGAGTGGTCACAGGCCAGGGAGAGAGTGACGTCAACGCGGGCGCTCTTCGAGGGAAGGCGTGACCTACTTAGCACCGCCCCAACACCTGCGGCAAGAGAGCGCAGTGCGGACGAAGGGACAGCACACAGGCTAGTAAAAGAGCTGTTTCGCATATAAAACGCTATCACAGTCAGTCTCTTGTCATGGCACACAAACTAAACTACGTTGAGGAAAAATACCTTGTCGAAGCAGAAGTGTCATTGAAATGCGCGATTAAAAAATTAGTTAACTTTTTTAACTCCGTCATGCACACAACTGCATTTTAGTAAGAAACCGTATAATATTGAAAAAAAGAACTCTTATTTTATTGAGAAGCTCCTATTGAGGAAATTCTTTTCTCACAGGAAAAAATTGCCACTCTCAGTTCAAAAAATATCAGATTGTCCTCTAAGGAGACCAAGATGCAGTAATGATCTATAACAATCACTTTCGGTTGATGGGTGCAAATCAGTCTTTGTTTTCCCCGAAAAGGAAGGGGACATTGTACGCATCTGGCATTTACTTTTTGTTAAGAATCGTGAAAGTATTCACAAATACTCCTTTAATGAAACGCCAATAAAGATTATAAAATCCCCTCTCTCTAGACACCCTGTGCGCAGTGGCGACCAACTGCAGCGACACGGTGCCATGTGTCCTGCATTTTTGCAGATATATATATATATATATATATATATATATATATATATATATATATATATATATATATATATATATATATATATTTATTCACGCGATGGGTCATATGCTATTGAAATTGGCGTTGGCATCTCCATTTGTACACACCATGACTGAAAGAGCTCTCTGTGTTAACACACATGCTGCAGTGTGCCACAGTGCTTCCATTATCATAAAAACTCAATTTTGATGACTCACGCCTTTTCAGAGCTATCCTTCTCAGCTTAATTCTAAGTGTACCTTACGACCAGTGAACCACCATTACAGAAGCACTATGTTTTCACAACACATTTTAGCGGTTATCTGTAACCCAGTAAAGCATAAGTGCGTACAGAACATTAGTGCAGCATTGTGCAGTAATGCTCCAGGCACAATTTACATAAACCAACACCTTAAACGCCGGTTTAGTTCTGAGACCGCATTCACATATATTATTTGCCTTTTATATAGCTATTTGCCTTTGGCTAGGTACTTAAGATAGTCCTAGCATCTATATTGGTGAAATTTTTTTATTATGAAACATTTTGGCTATAAAATGTT